GATGGATGGATGGATGGATGGATGGATGGATATTTCCTTGCAGTAAATAGATTTACAATACATCATTAATCATTCTGTGCAAATTAGCTCATGCAAAAGCCAGCAGACCCTGTAATTATTTGTATTTTCAAGCTAAACTACACTGCACGCACAGCTGCCTGCTAAACCATTCAAAACATGGCCAGAAGAGATTCAGTCAAACAACTGTGGGRATGAGACTTGTTTTTCCCCCTCCTCTCGTTCACTGTATTTCAATCAGGTCGTATCTTTTGGCTTCTTTAGGGGTTTCTGCAGCTGAAAGCCTRAAATTTGACCAGCAGTTATAGAAGCTGTGCATTTGGTTTGATTAAAAGGTTCAGTCGAGCTGCTCAGGATGAGCCTCTAAGTAAAACCATCAGTAGTGGAGAGGAGGAAGAGAGGAGACAGTGGTTGCAGTGCTTCACTGAATCATTTTCCTGTTGGAGATGACTTTAGTCCATTTCCCTTTGTGCAGAGGTGGTAAAGACAAAGCAGAATATGRCTGAGTGAGATAGATGACAAACTAACTGTTCTTCATGTACATTTGCTCAGGAGAATTAGGATTGTGTGACTGAAACCTTTGCACCTATACCGTGTAAGTCATAAAGCCCTGTTTATCACTCTCTGCAGCCATATTTGTGTCAGAAAATCTGCTCTCTTTCTCTCTCTCTCTCTCTGGAGACTAGAGGAGGACCTGCTGATTCACTGGAATAAGATGATGGTGATGCTTCGCACTTCCTGCAGAGTTAGTGCTCAGGCTTTGGGCTTTTTCTGTTTATCCAAACTGTTTGGATTAGAGCTGAAGTTGAATTMAAGTCAAAAGCCTCATAAAGTGACAGGAAAAAAAATGTTTGAAATAAAGCCCCTTTAATCCCACCAAGCCTCATTATGTGACAAGGAGGGGGTAAAACCAGATTTGTTTCATCCCCAGAGACACTAAACTAACACTAACACAAAATTTCTCCCTGAATAATCATATCATGCAAGGTTTATAAACGGCTAACACGCYGTGAAGGTTTTGAGACTGGAGTTGTTTATGGACAACAAGGATTCACTTGGTCTAGCTGTTAGCTTGTCAGTCAGACCTAAACTTTATTTCACTAAACAAAAATTATTCAAAGAGTTACCCACAGCAGGTAATTTGTGCCTTTTAAAGGTTCAAATCATCCCCTTACAAATTTTATCTGTCAAAGATGCTTTCTTATTCCAAATTCATAAATAAAACCCTTGAAAATGAAATTATTTTTTCTAACATTATGCAGATTTCAAACCACAGTTAGATAAGAAGCGTGATCAGGCCAGATTGTAATCTGAAAAKATCGACATGTTTTTATCTCGACTTCATCAAAATTTCAATTCAAACGGCAAATAATCACAAACCGTTACTCTCAGTGTCCTTGTTTCATTTATTTTCATTCAAAGAAACGCTACATATGTTTAACCACAGAACTACTCAGCAGATTCTAATTAATGTGTTGCACATGAAGGATGATGGATAACAAAGCTTTTACTTTGGCAGATGCTTAACGCTTTCATCTTCTGATTAATGAAAACACAGCAGAAATATTTCTYCACCTACAAATTTATCAGTTCAGTTTTTCTTACAGTCTCCAATTTATAAAAAAAAATTATGTGCATTTTGTATGAAAATAAAAAGGGATTTTCCAGACTCTGTGTTCACTACAGCTATAAGTAATGATTATTACAGTACGTTYGCTAAAAAAGAACATTGCCTCAGACTGTAAACACACCAGAGATAATGTTTGTCAATAAAACAATATGGAGCAATTAAAGTGGAATAAACAGTTGAAATGTTGGATTCTCAGTTGAATCAAGATAATCTGAACAAATGTGAGCAGCTTCAGTAGGTAAATTTGTCATTTTAATTACAGAGCGTTTAAATTTTCATCTTAGGAAGTAACACTGGGGGGACAAAAAAACATTCAATCTCTAATATATTTTAAAGAGAAAAACCTTTAAAAAGTGCCTTTTTTAAACTCAGAATGAAATAATGGGGAAAAAAATGTTCCATTAAGTACRACAGATTTGTGTTTTGCAGCATAACTGCAGCCTGTGTAGCAATTGTACAACTTTTTTCCGGAACACAATTGACAGAATCAGTGACTGCCAGCTTGTGTGCCGACAGCAATACCTTCACCTTGAGTTGCTGTTAACATCCTACACTAAAAGCACTTTGATATGTACAGCCTACACATTTACAGTAACAGAAAAGTGCTTATAAGTATAAATATATATTACATTTTATAACAACATCCCATACATTCTTTGAAAGCTTCTGAATTTATGGAAGAGGAAACCAGTAATGATGGGTTTTAAGCAGTGGTGTGCACAAACATTTTGGGGGGCAGGTGCTCAAGTGGAAAAAGAGGGCACCTTGTGTGGTGCACAGAATCGCGGGCTGTCCTAGTAAAGTGACATTTATTACAGACACATCTTGTCATGTCATGCATMTTYATCTATCATATTTTAAATCAGTAGCTTTATTCTGTCTSATTYARATGTTTAAWATTCAACACCCTACGGGTTGSTTTCTGTAACAAACTGGTAACAACAAACCAAAACTAGTAAKCACAGTTYGTACTTTAAAAATAACCTCCTATAATAAAGTTTATTTTCACAAAGTTAATGGTTTTCTTGTTGTATGCAGGATCGTCCTTCCATCTCTCTCATCAGAGAGTTGTTTCTGTCAATGCTTTGAATTCTAACATTTCAGCTTTATCTGTGTCTGACTGATATTTTCCAATGATTTGTCTCCCTCACCTTCCMTGTTCATAGATGTCCTCCTGCAGGACARCATTCTGCTTCTCTACAGCAGCTGCCTAAAAGGCTATCAGTATGAAATATATTTATTTAGCTAAAACTGCTTGGTGACAAAAGTCAGTGCAATAAATTACAGCATTTAAACTAAGACTCTTAAATTACTGGCATGGCCAAAATGTAACACTCTAACACTGGGGGGTCGAATTCACATGGGGACCAAAACTATAAACTAGTTCAGGCCAATCTCTGTCAAATTTTTATTAAAACAATGCTACATAACAAATTATTCTTATAATACTAATTTTATTTTCCAAATCATGGTTTATGCTGCATTTAGAAYACACATAACCTAACAAATTAAGATTAAATGTAAAAATAACTCATCATAGGCATTCATTATTCCATGTTCAACATTAAAATGAAAAGAGAATTCGAATTCTCTTTACACACTAAAGTCACAGAGTACTGAAAAATTCAAACTTTATTTCATAACATTTACCCTAATTATCATTACAGACAACAGGAAGTGAAGTTCAACTTCAGCATCTGAGGTTTGGGGTGAAAACGGTGGCCAGATTCTGTGGGACAAAAACGATGCTTTTGAGGGACAATGACACATCCCCAATGTGGCCACATTCATTCTTCTCTGTTTTGGTAGTTTTTGCACAACAGTGATTTTTAAAGGCATTTAAGAAAAAATATATTTATTTTTTATTAAATACATTTTAAAATTTATCAGCAAAAAACTTTGGTTAAACATATTTAAAGTTTAACATTTTTTATTTTATCGTAATGAAAAAAAAACACAAATCCATAGTCCAGATGATCTGTGCTGTTATCTGTCTGTCCACAGACTGACAGGCAGATTTCTGTAGGTTTCTTTTGTGAATCTCTTACAGTGTTGCTTCATGTTGTGTTTTTCTTCAGGGGGAAAAAATGCATCTTTCACTGACTTCACCCATTTTCCAGTTAGTATTTTGCTACATTTTCATATTATTTTTATTTTTTGCATAGTTTCCATTACATTCTGCATAAATCAGAGTCGTTTTCTTGTGCAGTGTTTAGATATTTTTATTTTTTAACACGATGGCTGCGATGCTGCGCGTTACAGCTGACTGAGCAACAGCGCACAGGAGTGCTGCAGGCATGCACGTGTGTGTGGTGAAGGGAGGGTGTGAAGGCAATATTATTAATAATACTATTATAATAAGAAGTGCAACCAACAGATGGAGCATTAAAAAAGGGGGCAGTTTCGACAGGGGCACTTGATGGTCCGGAGGGAAAAGGGCAGGTGCTCAAGCACCACCTGGCCTGTGCACGTCCATGGTTTTAAGGGTAATTTTCAGGTTGTATTAGTACAAAATATTCTCTGTTTTTAGAGGTTTTCTTCAGTGCATCTGAGTGCAAAACAAAAAAAGCAGAAGTTCAAATGTAAACTCTGTAGATAAAGAACCAACCAGTGCAACACAGAAAGAGTACAACTCAAAGGAGCATGACTTAAATGTGACCTGTGTGGATGGTGAGTCCTGCTGAAACTCACTATTTGCTCTTGTGTATAAGACTTCCCACTCTTTGAAAGAATTTCTCCAGCTTGTTTTCATGTTGTCCCCGCGCAGCCCGAGTGAAGCTCTGTTCAGCAGCCGCCTCGCCTTTAGAACAGCCTTTGGATTTGTCCTGAGACAGACTGCGCCGCAAACTGCTGGGCCGAGCGCTTCTCTTTTCAAACGGGGAGGATGACTCATGCGTGCTGTGTGAACGGTTTTCCGCTGCGGGCTTTGAGTTTTTCTCAAGGATGGAAGGTTTTTTCCAGGAGGAAGATTTGGTGAGAGAGTTCTGTGGCGAAATTTGGGCCTTCTCGGTTTTGAAAAGAGGCTTTGAAAATTTTGACGAGAACTTGACAGAGGTGGTTGCCTGATGTTTGGTTTGGTGACTTTTATTGTCACGGTGGCTCGTCTCCTCGTCCTCAGCTGTGATGGTGTCGGAGCTGTCGCCCGAACACAAACTTGGCGTTTCACTGGTTTTGATGGGGTTCTCTTTTCTCTCCGGTATGTTCAACAAAGATTTTATTATTTTAGAATTGGCTTTTAGAGAACTGTTGGATTTATTTGTTAAATCCTTTGTTTTCAGGTCCAGGGCTGCTGCAGACACAGTCCTGGATGGTGGCTCCTGCCAAATGGGATTCGAAGGATCTTTTGTGTCTGTGATGCTCTTGACATCATAGTGGGAGACAGATCTCTGATCTTCATTCAGAGTTGACCTGTGTTCTCCAACCTGTGCCCCGAACTCTGCTGTGCTTCTGTTTACTTGTGTCCTTACAGCATTTCCATACAAGTGACCTGAGTATTGATGTGCATGCTCAGGGTTTGAGCGGGGATCTGCCACGCTGTGCCTTTTCTGCCAGTCATCTGTCAGAATGTCGGGGCTTGTGATTATCTGTCCGTGATTAGGTCTGCCCAGGCTGGCATACGTAGGGAGGTAGGAGTTTCCTCCAGGGCTATAGCCTGCATTGTCCTGAAAGTCATCCAGAATCTGATGACTTGGGTTATTTGGCATAAACTCGTGGGAGTGTAATCGGTGCCCAGGTGTTGCCGTCGGATCCCACTGCATCGAAGAGTAGCGCAAAGAAGTGCTGTGGACTGCTGCGAGGCCAAGAGCAGCGGAAGAGTTGTTCATGCGTCTGCTTGGCTCCATTTGCTCTGGTATGGTGGACCTGAGAGCAAGAGAGCTCCTCATCCTTCCTTGCATGAAGGAACCYGCCTTGTCCGGGGTGTCAAACTGTTCTAAGTAGTCAAAGGAATCTGGAGATGGAGCCTCTGGGTTTTTAAGGTAAGATTCGATCCTCCATGTGCGCATAAATGCCTTCGATGTGTTCTCCAGTGTTGGCATGTTCTGCTGCATGCACAGTCCCTGCTTGTCGATGCCATTATAAGACTGACGCATGTTTTGCCCTCTGTATCTCTGTGGTGTTTGCAAATAGTTATCCATTGAGTAGTTATTCAGTCCGTTTCTTGTGTCTTTGGTTATGTTCCAGTTGCTCGCTCTAGGCCTGATGTTATGCGAAGAGTATCCATCTTGTCTTTCACCAGCGTAGCTGTGCCTTTTTAGCATATTTAACTCTTCAGATTCAGTTTGGTAAAACTGGGGCAAATGACAATGAAGACTGGTATCATTTTCAATTAAAGGCCCAAGCATGTTCCCTTCCTCCTTCAGATCTCTGGTGCCAAATTTCATGCCGGAGGTTTTCCGATTGATGAAGTCCGACGAATACCCGAGCTGGTTACTTCGCCCGATCTTTGGTGCAGAACTAAAGTTGTTTATCTTTTGTTGGTCGTGAAGCCAGCTGTTGTAGAACAGCCCTTCCGGTGCACTGAGTTCAGCTGGCAAAGTCGACTGGGCATAAAGTGTCCGAAACTCCTCATCATAGGACTTCACAAGGTGTCCAGTTATGACCTGAACCATGCTTAGATGGATCTTCTCAAAAGACCAGGCAAAGCTGCAAACAGAGAAACAATTTTTCATTTGATTTAAAGGCAACAAACTGTGATAAGTAACATAAATCTCTTAAAGGGACCCTTGATTAGTTGTAATATTAGACTTTATTTGATAAACATATTTTAACTATAAAATAAAGACTGTAAAAATACTGTAGGCTGTTTAGTTTTGCAAATTTTTAAACTACAAATTTAAAAATATATTATGGACGTGGCCATTTTATTTACACGCAAAGCATTCTGGGTAAATGATGATGTGGGTAGGTCCTCGGTGCGAGGCTGCTAGCGAGCTATATCCACCCTGAAGGTTAATTTTGGACAATATCTGACAATTGGCTCTTTTAAATGAAACCAGAGAGCGTTGACAGAGAGGAGAAGGTAGAAATGACTCAGCCTGTAACTGAAAATATGGATGGAGGACAACAGAGCTGCTTCATGGAAGAAGAACCTCAGCTTAGCCTGATAGCTTTAGCATTAGCCCCGGTGCTATCACCATATATATGTATTAGCTCAGCGTTACACATTCTCCTCTTGTCACTGAGGTCCTCCATCCACATGACAGAGAGGGGAACACAAAAGTGACTCAGCCTGCGACTGAAAATATGGATGGAGGACCTCAGTTTAGCTTGTTAATTTGTCATGCTAACGCCAAGCTAATACATATAGGTTGCTAGCACGAAGGCTAACAGGCTAAGCTGGGGTTCTTCTTCCATGAAGCAGCTCTGTTGTCCTCCATCCATATTTTCAGTTGTAGATTGAATCGTTTCTACCTTCTCCTCTCTGCCAACGCTCTCTGGTTTCATTTAAAAGAGCCAATCATCAGATATTGTCCAAGATTAACCTTCAGGGTGGATATAGCTCACGAGGACCTATCCACATCATCATTTACCCAGAATGCTTTGTRTGTAAATAAAATGGCTCYGTCCGTGTTAAAATATATTTTTAAAAATTTACAAAACTAAACAACCTACAGTATTTTTACAGTATTTATTTTACAGTTAAAATAAATGTTTATCGAATAAAGTCTGGTGTTGCAAGTAATCGGGGATCCCTTTAACAAGCAGCTCTTTGTGCTAGAGTTACATTCAACATCTCACCCTTTGAAGGGAGAAAATAGTGTAAAGGACGTCTTGATGTGAGGGATCATTTTTTATTAATATTTTTATTTTGGTAACAGCCTGCTCCACAAGACGTCAGTGAGAAATAATTTCTGCAGTTTTCAGAACAATGACAGCATCAGCAGTGCTTTGTTCAAAGCATTCCATGCACTCGTCAGTGCTTTCAATGTCTTCCCTTGTCTTGTTGTCCGGCAGCATTATTTACCTGTATGAGCCATAAATTGTTGTGAGGCAGTCAACTAAAAGAAACTTCTGCTCCATTACTCCATGAAATTTGGCTCCTGATCGACAGAGGTACTCCGGACCTTTCACGGTGCGCAGCCTCATCTTCTGTTACCAGAGCAGTGAAAGAATCATGTCATTTTTWAAAAAATTATCAGTAAGTACATCAGTCAACAAAGAAACATCCACAGTAGCTGTACCGTGCAGAATGTTATGCCAACAGCTTGTTGTTGGTGTTGCCATGTAGTAATTTCTTATGGGAAATTTTATGGGTGTGTTTAAAACTTAAGAATGTCTCACCAAAGTTTGTGACTCCACCCAGTCAAGATGAGGAAACAGTAAATATTAAAAGCCCTTGAGTCATAAAAGCCCAGAGGATTTATACCTTTGGCTGAGTTTCCCCAGAAATGTGAAATGGGATTTTTCTAATAAATGTCTCTGACTCCAATTAATTCTTTAATCTTAGCATATTTACCAGTCACAGACCAGATGAAATGTAAATAAATGAAAAAATGAAATCAAATGTAGATTTTTCATAAACAACTTACTTTCAGGTGTTGTGGGTTGATTGATTGCTCCTCGGCCATTTTCAGGAAACTTTTCAGATGAGAATCGTCCAAAACGATGTAGACGGAAACTCCTCGTAAGGAAGCGTCCACAATTTCTTTGAATATGTCTACGTCAGTGAACATGTCCATCACAATGGCAATCACCTTTAAGGACGAGGATCAGAGTGAGTAAATTATATTTCACCAGTTTAAACCAGTTAAGTCAACATGAATGACAATGTTAAGCACTGCATGTGACAAAAACAAAAGTGAACGCAGCCAATGTTATGTTTACTGAAACTGAGTAAAGGACAAAATTAGGAGAGAGATCAGCTTTGTATCTGAAATGAGAAAATTCATTGATCCTAAACACATTTCAGTTTCACCTGGGTTGTTTTTTGTGCATCAGTGCACCAAGTTTATTATACATATTTTCTTCAGACTGACAAAACCTTCTTTATGTTAACTAAAATAGCAAAGATATTTAACTCAGCAACCCAGTTTGTGCTAAACATAAAACGATWATGTGACCAGAGGTGGGTACTCATTATATTTCCTCCGTTACATTTACTTGAGTAACTTTTTTTTGGGTGGGGGGCGGGGGCGTACTTTCGGACAATGTAGTTTACTTCAACATTCGTTTTACTTTACTTGAGTAATATTATTATGAAGTATTGCTACTCTTACTTGAGTACAATTTCTTTACACTCTACCCATCATGAGTAACTTCACTGAATGAAGAACAACCTTGTTTTAACCAGAAATGCACCAGAGAGACACACCTGCAGTTTATGGGGGAACCTCACTGACACACTTGGAGGTCAACTGAATATAGAGTAAATAGGAAGTATTACATATTTGTTAATGTATTATTATATATACAGAACAGAGTAATGTACTTATGAACTCATTACCTACTGTATTTAACAGAATTTGCACATAGCTTTCTATTTGCAGTCAGTCTGAAGATAAMATTTAAAGTAATAAATCAGATGTTATGATCAGGTACTCAGTACTCAAGTAGCCTTTTTTACAAAATACAGTTTTACTCTTACTTGAGTAATTTGCTGGATGCTAATTTTTACTTTTACTTGCGTAAAAATATGTTGAAGTAGTGCTACTCTTACTTGAGTACAACCTTTGGGTACACTACCCACCTGTTTGTGCGAAAATACTGAGTATAACTTCAGTTCAATTTAAATTTGAATGTTCATTTTGCAGATTTGTATTTGTCTTTCATGTATATAATGTCCAGTTGATAATTGATGCAAACTCTAAGTCATCACTTGAGAATTATTTTAGATTTTATTTTTCTGTCTTGTCCGATCCTGCAGCTGTTATTTTTAAGCTGTATAGTCTAGGAAACACAGACATGGGTGTCAAATGTGTCTGAACAGCAGGTTGGTTTCTACTAACGACAAGTTTGTGTTGATCCTTGTTATTAGCCTTTCTGACATGTTTAATTGCCAGATGAAGCTGAACATYTCTAATGAGTTTTGGCTTTATTATGGTGCGGTGTATTTAAGAGGCTCCTGATCTGTTCTCATGAAGGCGAGTTGCAGAACCAGATCTGGCCTCCACCACCCCAGCAGACACTCCTTGACGCAGAAAACTGGAACAGATATCTATTKAACTGCCTTGACAGGAAAAGTGTTTGCAACATTCTGCTGAAAAGCTGTGAGGTGAAAATGTATTAGTGAGTTCACATCTTTTTTTTTGGTCACATGTAGGTTTTTTATTACCTTTCTTGCATCCTGTATTTGCTTCCGGATCACATCTTTTATGGTGGGGTTGTTTAGCCTGGGTGGGTGGAACAGCAGATTAATACTTGTGTGGAGATTTTCATGCACAACCTCCGGCCATCCTAAGTCCAAACAGGGCGTTTCCACGTCTGAGTGGACAGGCCAGTACGTCCCCGAGGACGACTGGTCGTCCTTGTGGGTGACTGTTGGACTGGTGATTTCTTCTGTAAAGTTTTGAGGCAGATGTTTGACGTTAGCTGTGATGAAGTGCAGCTCATCTTCTGAAAGGAAAGTCCCYATACGTTCTTCCTTGAGAAACTCATGGTAACTGTCTCTGCCCTTGTGCACCAGGCGATCAATGGCCAGGCGATATGACTCCTTATAATGAGGCTGGATGTAGTTCTCAGATTGAATGTCTCCCCTCAGCAACGACAGTGGGGAAAACTCAGGAGAGTCCATGTCTCCTGGTGGTTTCTTTAGGACCTGTCAGTGATAATGGAGACGAATGATTTGAGGATCAGTGGACAAATATCATGGTAAAGCGGTAAAGGATGTCTCTGTAAGCTCAGTGAAGCAAAAAATAAACTGTGGTTTCCACAGCATGAATCATAAAATGCTCAGCTCTTCACTTTAAGTGGTATTTCGAAGTGTTTTAATAACAATCTTTCACTTTTTTACTACATTGTTTGGGTTTGAAAATTAACTGTCACAACCTAACTCAAAGATAAACCTGAATGACTATGTTTCTTTAAAGAGAAGCATTTTACTAAATGCAATTATGAAAGATTTCTGTTAAAGAGAAAATAAGGAAGAGGTCATGTTTCCTTAATATTTACCCAAACACTGTCATCTAATTCTACCATTTTAACTTCAGTTTTCAAGTCTCACGTGTTTGAGATTCTTGTACATCTGTAAACACACTTTGACACTTTAAAAAAAACCTCATGTATCTAGTGTCAACTTAAACTGGTTTCTGTCCTTACAGCTGCATTTCTGTTCCACASTTCTTCGCACAGTGAGCGATTTACAACACGGTTATTTGAACATGCAACAACGGGGACTTACATTTTGATAGTGACCTTTGTGGAAATCCTCCGGACTGCTCCTATAGTATCCCACTTCCATTTATAAACTTTTGTTGGTGTTTGGAGCAGCTTCTGAGAGCCTGCTGGGAGAGACAAAGACAAGGAGGTGTCTCAACATGAAAAGCAGTCTGCAGTTGGAGGGTGTGGATTAGATTCCTGTTTTAACATGTAAACTGTGCGGCTTGAAACTGGCTCACAGCRAGACATAAACCTGTTTGTGATATTTAACCACTCCTCCGTCCACTCTTCCTCCTCCTCCTCAGTATGGGAACAAAGTTCACCCTGAGGAAAATCGAGATAATGAAGACATAAAGAAACTTTAGTGAATACCTAAGCATTAGTAGACTTGTCTGTGTTCTGTGTCGTGTTACAAAAGTGCTGGAAACTGAGTCAATAATATAAGATTCTTCAGTGTTTTTCTTTTCTCTTGTTGTTTTAATCTATGGATCAAAGATGGAGTTATCGTTGTTGCAAGCATAATTTTCCCAGACAGTTTCTACATCCACGCATGACATCAACGCTCACTTTTATCTTATCGTCGGTGTTCAGATGGAGCTGCTCAAAGTTAGACAATAACTCTTTCTCACTTGAGTGTGTTTGTGAATGATCAAAGAGCATCTTCAGGACTTCCTGTCTGGTACCATTTGTCCGGACTTGTCAATAAATGTGACGAAAAGATTTGTAACAAAGTCTCATTCATCCAGAACCACTGAAATCTGCTCACCTGTTGACTCTTTTCATATTTGAGAAATCAGGTCGCTGAGCAATGACTTTCAAAACTGGTTAAAGTTTAACAATAAGAATTATAGCTCAAACTTTAAATCATGTTTTCTTCTGGGTTGAATTTCATTATTTTTAAGTGTGCATTCAACGGTTCAGATATTTTAGTCTGGACACAAGTTCTTTTTCCAAATTTGAATGCTAATACTGTATATTGCAAAGGTATACGTACTTTATTGGTCATCAGTGCATGTTTTCATACAATGATGAAATTTGTGCTCAGCATTWGACCTAGCCTGGCCCTTRCCTTCCTACGCAGTTCTGCTCAATTCTAGCTTCCCTTCACTGCTCCGTCTGGGACTTCTCCCATAGATATGGATTTTGCTGGCAGATTTTTAGCCGAACCAATCAGAGAACAGAACGTCAATATTTTGCACAGTGTCAGCTTGTAGCTTATTTTACCATGGGCCAATCAGCAAACAGAAGGTGGAGTTTTGAATGACGTCAATTTTCTGCGTGGTGTCTGCTAGTTAGTTTAGCATATGGAAGTGGAGGAAGTGAATGAAGCCAGTCTGTGTTGATAAGGCTTCCAAATTAAATTAAATTTGTCTGACAAAGCAGCAGCTCTCATTTACAGTTATCTCATTYGGCTCTGTACTTTTCTCCTCTCAGAAGGGTTGTTTACAGCACACGCGATTTCTGGTTAGCTTCTTAGCTTAGCCTCCTTCACAGCGACATACACACACATGCTTCAACAGAGGCCATGCCTCCAGCAAGAATCGCTTCTCTATAGCCGCAAATCCAGACCCTCGTGCAGAGCAAAGGGAAGGACAAGGGTCTGGTTTTTACCAGGCTACATTTGACCCATCACACGTGAGAAACACACAAGTGGCGCAGCAGGGAGCCATGTGAGCACCCGGGGAGCAGTTGGGGGTTGTGTGCCTTGCTCAAGGACACCACAACATATGGGCATGGCGGCGAGTAGAACCTGTGACTTTTGGGTCCCAAGCTACCTGCTCTACCACTACACCACAGCTGCCCCAAGGACTCCTTTTTGTGACAAAKTTGTGTTTAAAGTGGCTATATTGTGCTTTTAAATCCTTCTTTTTCACATTTAATTCATTTAGTTGAGGTCTATATGAAGAGGAACTGCAATGCTTTGGTCTGATTGCCTTCTTATTGTAACTCCACAAGCCCCTCTTTCACTCCTTTGCTGAGGTGTGTCTCAGATAACTAGTTTTGATGCTGTTCCTTTGAAACTAAACAAGGCCCTTCAAGCCCTGACCCCTCCAGCTTCCAGACTGGTCCATTGTAGCTTGATAGAGGGGTTTACGACTATGTAGCAGCGCAGAAACATTTCAGCAGCCATGTTTCCATTTCCATTTTTTATGTTTATTTTAGTGTATCCCATTAGAAAAGGTGGATGGAAAAGTCTAAATTAGCAAAATCG